AAACTACCTTATATTGGTATCATCATGATACTTCACCGATTTATAATAAGAAAACAAGTACATACAAGTTATTGTTTGCTTGCTTCGATATAGGGTTAACCGAGTGTTTTCTATTACTTTTTCTTTTCTCTTGACCATCATTTTGAATATAGTGTTTTGCACAAACAGCACTGATTTCACTATCCTGAACAATAGTGGGTTAATCTCAACTATAATATGGTATTTTCTTTTACCTGGCTTTACCTTTATTATTGGTTAAACGTGAGATAACCCCTGTTACCTGTGGCTTTTGTTGTTTCGCAGGTAGAGACCACGAGGACACTACCTTTTGTTTCAGGCACGGGGACCCGGCTACAGTTGGTTAGAGCACGGACTTAGATAGCATCTAATTCCATGGTTAGAGTAGTCCTCTATATACTCCATCTCGTATTAAACAAACAGCAACCATGATATATGCAGGTAGCTACTCGGCTGATAGACAGGTAGCTACTCGGCCGATAGACAGGTAGCTACTCGGCCGGTGGAACGACAGAACAGGCATTTATTATAATTGCATTTGATGCGATAAAGACGTTTCCATACCATTTCGCCAAATTCACTCCAAAACCCACAATCTGGGTAAACACACTGGGCATAGGAAGTTCTCTCTCCACTTGTTGTCGGGCACTATGGTCTATGGTCTACAGAATCTATTCTCATTGCGAATCGTATTTGTCTACAAAAACAAAGCGCGCCACCCAACCTGAACTCCTTTCGGAAGCAGGAGATGTACCAGACGGTCTATGCGTCAGTTTGTTTTTATATAATTTGCTGGGCATTCTATACATCCAATATAAACACGAGTCCCATTCATTCTCAATGCATTCGTGTACATAACATTCCAAATGAAATACATTTAACTTCAATTTAAATTTAAAACTTGTACGTTCGTCTACGTCCGAAGCTAGAATAATACAACAATAACGACCACCCGTGTCCTACCACACGCACATGCCCTAACCTCACTGGTCAATACCAAATCGCACGAATCAACCTATAAGACAATTATTACGCGCTATTCTTCGAAACGCGCGCAAATTTAGATAGACGATGTTTTAGTGGTTAACATTATCTCTCGAAATAAATGCCACCCCTAGCCTCCTTCCAACAACACCCGAGAAATAATTTGAGCATCTCAAATCCCTGCGGATGGGTGGGTGGTTACTTCGGGTAAATAATAAAATAATGAACAAGAGGCCCAGATAGCTGTATAGCTCAACTGAATATGTTTAAAATAATTGGTATAAAGTAAATATATAGCACACCATGGTAGGTGCTGTATTTCAGAAAGATCCATCCAGATCCATCCAGTACTTGAGATATAGCGAGGTCCCCTTTCAAACATAGCTCCACTCCTATGCCCCTAGGGGGGTCATACCCACCGTTTATACAAAATTGAGTCCCCTTGGCCCAAGGATGCTCCAGACTAAATAAGGATAAAATCCCTTAATCCCAATGTTCAAAGAAGGGTTTTAAAGGTTTTATCTCTATTTCCCCTTTTAGGACCACCTTTCTGCCTCCATGGGGGTTAGACACACCGTTTACGAAATTTGAACAAAATCCTGCCATTCGTACAGAAGAAGAAGGTATTTGAAGAATTTGCTATGTTTCCCCTACTGAACCCCGCCCTCACTGTTGCCATAGATACCAGACCAAATTAGAATGAAATTCCTTCATCCCTATGGTAGAAGAAGGATTATAAAGGTGTTACTTCTATTTCCCTATTGGGCACCGCCCCTCATGTTCCAGGTAGACACACCCACGGTTTATACAAAATGATCCCTTTTACCTCAAGGATGCTCCACACCAAACATGGACAAAATCCTTTCGTTCCTAAAGAAGAAGAATGATTTTAAAGAATAATTTGCTATGTTTCCCCTATTGGACCCAGCCCCTTAGGCCCCTTGGGGGCCAGCCCCGCGGTTTATACAAAGGTTTGTCCCCTTCACGCAAGGATGCTTCAAACTAAATACATGTATGGAACAAATCCTTTCATTCCTACAGAAGAAGACGATTTAAATAAAAAAAGTTATATTTCCACTATTAGGCCCCGCCACTCAGGCCCCTGGGCGCCAGACCCACCGTTTATACAAAATGTGTTCCCCTTCAACCAAATATGCTCCAGACCAAATATGGAACAAATCCTTTCATTCCTACAGAAGAAAAAGGATTTTAAAGAATTTGCTATATTTCCCCTATTGGGCCCGCCCCTCAGGCACCTGAGAGGCCAGACCCACCGTTTATACAAAAAATGGTTCCCCTTCAACCAAATATGCCTCAGACCAAATCTGGAACAAATCCTTTCATTCCTACAGAAGAAGAAGGATTTTAAAGAATTTGCTATATTTCCCCTATTGGGCCCGCCCATCGGCTAGTCCCCAATGGGCCAAACCCCCCATTTATACCAAATTAAAATCCCTTCCCCAAAAGATGCTTCTGGCCAAATTTGGTCAATATCTGCTCAGTCTTTTATGACAAGTAAAGTTTTAAGGGAAAAGATGACGAACGGATGACGGACGCTGCGGTATGGCATTAGCTCACCAATGTCCTTTGGACCAGCTGAGATAAAAATGAAGATGAGTAACACTTACACACCCTTTTCCATTATGCATCGGAAACGTATGGTTGTGAGGCAGAGATAACTTCATAATGTGGGCGTGGGTGTTGGAGAAGGGGGCAGCTTTTTGAAATGATGTCTTCTGTGTTGTAGTCATCACGCCAAAAGTACGAAGCTCTTCTATGTGGCTCTAAATGTAAATTGAAGAATCTCGTTGATATCACCACGTCTACGGTCTTCTTCTTCCAGTTATTGCCTCCATCAACAGGTTGATGCTTCTGCAATATGTGGCAGTTTCGCATGTGACAGGACTGACACAGTTAAAATTGGTTTGTGAGTTAAAACAGGATGCTCCGTCACTCTGGCCTTGTAGGCCGAGAGTTTGGCTGCATCTGTGATGTCTAGTGGTAGGGCGTTCCAGTCACGTACGGTTCTGTCGTCTTGGTGGTCGCAGTCTGTTTTCTTTACTGCAACCATACCTCTGCCAATCTTGTATAACATCACTAGTATAGCTTCCTTCCTCCTTTCTTGTAGTTGTTTCCATCCGAGCATATGAAGCATATCAGATATGCTGGACGTGTTACGATGACGGTTTGTGACATACCTTGCATCTCTTCTCTGGAAGTGTTCAATGCTGTTGATGTTGTGCTGGGTGTGTGGGTCCCATACGGATGATGCATATTCCAGCAAATGTCTGACCCGGCCGTCGTATGCTAGTATCTTGATCTGAGTAGATGTCATCTTCAGCTTTTCTGTATGTAGCCTAGCGTTCTGTTTGCTTTCCCTGTTATTTTCTAAATGTGGGTGTACCATTTAATGTTGTACGAAATGGTGACACCTAGGTAGAGGGCTATTTTGATCTCCTGCAGATAGTGGCTTTGTAAGTGATTCATGACCTATCGGTTGTAAGTTTCAATTGTTTCCATTGTGACGTCACACCTAGGACAAGTACATGACGTCACAGACTTACCGACTAGATTCCAAATAGCGACTTTTCACATTTCAAGGTTGCATGGAAATTGTCGTTTTGTACGAATAAATACCACAACTCTTGATTACATGATAAACAGGATCGTACACTAGTTTTCATTTCATATGAAATTAATGAAACTCGTCACGATTTTTTCCTTTTAGCTTGCCAGAGGCTCGGTAAATTGAAAAAAAACTTAGACTCGTTTCTTTACTGAATCTCATATTAAATGGAAACTCATGTTATATTGTTAAATCCTATGAATATATATGTAACTTATTACAATATTTGAAATGAAAAAATTGATTAAATTCAAATTTGATAATTTTGTAGCAATGATTATGCCCATCCACCGTGGCGCCACCTCTCTCTGTGTTACGAACAATTATAGGAATCACAATATATTCATGTGTGGCGAAGTTGGACTGGGTCGATCGTCGGCGACCTGGTGGCTCGATTGATGCAGCGTCCGTCTAGTCGGAAGTTCCCGGGTTCGAACCCTGGTCTGGTCATGCATTTTTTCGTATAATGTTACGCATGCATTGTTTTATTGATGATCATGCTTAATGAAAAATTAATGCGGGAGAAGAAATAATTTTTGATAGCTGAAGTTAAATCTTATCTGCACTTTTTTTTCTAAATAAAATCTGCTTAATCTTACTAAACAGTATCATGAGAAAGTTGACGGTCACTATTGCATACATTCTAGTGATATGGGATGAATAATTCAAACTTTGGTTTTGGACCCCGATATTCAAATTTGTTAATCATGCATTTTTATCCTTCAGATACTTATAAATATGAAAATGTAGCACTATAATAAATTTATGTAACTATAATCAAGGATTTCAGAAAATCAACAATTACAAACAAAAATCTTTCATCTTTTGCATTAATTAATTAACCATAAAATTATGTTAACTTTTATTTATCTAGCAATAATTATGAATAAAGTTTACTAGCTAGTTCATATTGATCACTATGTTTGGCCCGGATTGAAGCGTGCAGAGGGTCTTAAGAATTCTGAAGACCAACTGCACGCTTTTGTAATCATGATGCAGCTTTATGATATCAATGTAATGGGTATACAAAAACTAGAAGACCTAGCTGTGATAGAACATCCTGGGGAATCAAAATGACACTGTCAACTGAGAAGGCCATTCTATTTATTTATGCTTTTCTTTATTTACTATTGTGTAATCGGCGCGAAATATAGGTTGTAACACAGCATAGAGTTTTGATTAAGGTCCGAACAAAATATTAACGCCAAAAAGAAAACATGTGAAAAGTTCATAATATTAATTTACTAATTTTGTACATTGTCTAGACAATTAACAGCCTCAGATTCTACCCTTGTTGAATTTTCGCGCCAAGAGTTGTTTCCCCTGTAGATAAACAACACTAACTGATGACGTCACAAAATATGTACACACACATGGCGCACCTGGAAGTTCACTTACCCAGTATTCAGAAGAAAAATATCCGGTAAGATAGATATATGACGTTATTAATCGTATACATCTGGTGAAATGAACGCATTAAATATCTACCTAACAACATGCCGCTATGTCATGCAGGCTGATTTGGCCGATCGCGAGACCTGGAGCGATTTGTACCGGTATTTACCTTTTCTTCGTCAGGCACTCTCATGTTGTGTATGTCGAAACCTGGTTGTCAAACCGATGGGACCTGTGCACAATGTCTGTCAACACTTTGTTTGCTTCACGTGTGCAGGTGGTAAAATGAAGCTAAAACCCCAGTGTAGCTGGTGTAAGCATCATGAAGAATTTCAAGAGAATACTCAGCTTCGTATAGCAGTGATTTGTTTCAAGAAGCTCTGTGAATATATATCTGATTCTCCAATTGGAAAAGATCTGTACCTTCAGTCACCATCACCAAACGGGGAAACAAACAATCTGAACACTATTATAAAAGAAGCTTTGGACTTCAAAGATGATTTCACACTCTCCTCATCGTTACCTTTACTATCGGGTTTAAACTTAAGCACTAAACATAATAATTCACCAAGACTATCATCGAAATCGCCGACGAACTGTGTCAAACGTTCCGAACAAAGTCACAATTCATCAGGTGAGAAAACAGTTTCACCTGAACTAAGCTGTAGCATAAGAGATAAATCAAACTTGTGTGATACAACAAACAATGTCTACCCTGATATGTCTTGCTGTAGTGATATAACTGCAGAAAAAGATTCAGAATCACAGTTAAATTCATCGTCTCAAAGTGATGAATCCATCGAGGTTGATGTAACAGACACTGACACTAGTACAGATTCTAAACCTGAAAATTCACTCAAAAGAAAACGTGACAGTGATTGTGGAAACAGATCTGTTTTGTTTGACTCCAGTGAAAGTGGAATCCTCACCTCTGGTTCACACGGGTCTAGGGGAGACAACTCTCAGTTGCGAGAACCTGACAAGAACAGACTAACTCTTACTCCAGGCAGTGAACAAAAGGATTTGAAGATATGTAAATGTGGCCGTGGAGGAACAAACAGTCGTCTCACATGTCTCGGTCAGCGTTGTCCCTGCTATATCAACAAGCTACCATGTGTAGGCTGCAAGTGCAAGGGATGTCGCAACCCTCGCAAGATTGAAAATGACAGACTCAAAATAGTAAATACAGACCATTCTTCAGAGATAGGGTCTATCATTAACAGTGAAAATGTATTTGTTGAAGTATAGAATGTTAATTTATATGCATGTTTAATAATCAATGTTGAACATTGTAAGATAATACACATTTTTTTCATAAGAGACTTATTATTTGACCAAAATGGTAACTCAATTTTTCTTATTTACAAACAGTTACATCACACATGTTATTTAGATATCTGGCTTTGTTCACTATTTCCTATATTTGACCTGATTAACATATTTATGGGTGTTTTGCTTACCTAAAATTGTAAAAAAAAAATTGGGGGGGGGGGACTGAACTATGATTATGGACAGCGATTACTTCAGGTCCGAAATTCATCTTTTTGGTCAGGAATTATCATAACAGCACCAAAATGATACTCGACACCCATTTGAATTTTGAAATTTCTGAATAGGGCTCACCAAGATAAATATTTATGTTGAACAAAATATTGACAATGACCAGATTGTGAGAGTAATGCACAATATGTATTCTAATACATCAGTCTATAATATCATATTAAGACATGTAACAATTAAGGGGTTTTACAAGGCACTTTTTATGTCTGTTTATTGGACCAGACCGATGCTCCCTTTTATCATTCAAAATTTTACAATCTAAAACAATAAAAGCATAAATTTCAAGAAAAGATTTAAATGTTAAAATTGTAAACTGAGTTTTTGGATTTTTGAAATTAAAAAGAAAAAAAGTTCTCAAATGCAGCATAAGTAAGAAGGACAGAGTGATTATGGAGTCTTTATCACTTTAAGATAGACTTTATGTAGTCTTATTTCATTTGTTCAGAGTTGTTAGCATTAATTGATCATCGAAATTTCACAAAAGGGTTGTCATGTTGATAATTTTTTCTGATCCCAACCTAGTGTCCATTTGCCGAAACCACCTGCTAATCCCCTGAACATTCTACAATCTTTTACACGTCTGTAGTAAATAGTCCCCCACCAGTACTCACAGAGGGAACTAGAGGTTTGCAGTGATGATCACTCAGGCAATCTGTTTTTGTGTCAGTTTGTTCGGGGAATTCCCAATATACTCAATTTGTCACCTATAATTGGTGAATTTTGTTTGCGAGTACTTCTCAAATCGTATCTCATGCTCCTCTATATAAAGTTATTGCCCTTTGTTCATTTTTATTATCAAGTTTATTTAATTTAAGAGAGTGCAACTCCCAAGCTCTTTCACCTACATTTACAGTTCAACTTATTTTCTTAGGATATTTATTTTCTCTGAATACCTAACCCATCATGGCTGTTTTTAAGTTTTTGGAATGATGTTATTCATTTGAAACAAACATGGCATTTTATTTTGTCACTTATACATATATATATATATATGTGTGACAGCATATACATGGGGTCTTAGTATCTTCTTGACAATAACTTCTTAACAAGTTGTTGTGATAAAATTGGCATCCCAACTCTGTCATTCCCACCACATTATATTATACAATATCTGATATATAGTGCCCTATCTAGCTAGTTAACATAAGCTACTCGAAAGTGCTTTACAGTACATAGATATACAATTAATACAATGATTAATTAGCATATACATTAATCAATACATGCCTGCATGTGAGCTGGAGATGTAATGTGTTACCTTAGTGATGTTCATGTTGAGTCCATTTTATTTGAAATATATATCCTGATTTTTCTCACTGAAAGTGGTGTTTTGCCTTCTCTGCAATTTTAACAACCTGAAGTATTGACAATTTCTTCTCTAATGAAAATAAAAGTTTGATTTCTTTTTTATTCTGAAGAGTATTATGGCCAATCCTCATGTCACTATTTCTCAAGAAGTACTTGTTGTGTATTTGACAGTTCTTTTCATATTGTTCTATGTAATTTAAAAAACTCTTGCTCCCTTGTTGCGCGAGTAAGTTTCAATTTGAGTAATCTGAAAAACAAGACGTTCATCATGCAGACAGCCATCTTTTATTTTGACAGTTTAAAGTTTTGGTATTGGTTAAATAAGATACTGTCAATCTCCATTGCATTAAGTTTTAATCTAAAGGCAATATTCAATCTCAACAAGCTCGGGATAGGTTGGTTCTTTATTGTATGTCTACCGGTTTCGCCCGAACATGAGGGCTTCTTCAGGACCTTTATTGTATGTCTACCAGTTTCGCCCTAACATGTGGGCTTCTTCAGGACCTTCAGGAAGTTTTAATCTAAATGTTCATAAGAAGCATTTACTGTTGACAAGACTATTGTTGAGGTGAATATGTGGAAAGATGGAGGTTAACATTCGACTGAAAACATGTCACAACTGAAATGGCATCATAAAATAAATATTGACCTGTTGTTTCTAAAAACAGTAAGAACTTTCAATATCGATCAAATATCCAACCAATGAGGTTGTAGGAAAAATGTATGTCATCTAATGTTTAGATATCTTGTACAAGTACCCAAACTGAACATGCTACAAACTGTTTTTTGTAAACATTTATCTGGTATCAATGTCAAAAGCTCTATTCCGTCTTTTCGTATTGTAGAGTTATCTGGTCTTGTGAGCAGGTATTGATTGTTACATCATTTGTTTGGGAGAGTAACATCATAAATTTTTGAGAAAACGACGTAACAATCAATACCTGCTCACAAGAGCAGATAACTCTGCAATACGAAAAGACGGAATAGATATAAAGGCATTTTTTAATTGAATATTTTATTTTTTGCGACAATGTAAAATCACTTTTGTTTTGTTTTTGCAGGTGATATGTTGAATGACCAATTTTTTATGAGTGATTTTTGTTTTTTTGTTTACGTTGTTTAGAAAATGAGTTGTTTAAGGAAGATGTTAAAATTGTTTATTTATAAAGAACAATATTCGTTTTAAGTGTGATCGTGATGTGGACTAATATTTGCTATTCTGTGTCCGTTCTACTTGTAATTTATATTGGAATAGGTTCTCTAGGTGTAGTCAGGTATATATATGTAAGTAGTTACATGAGTATATTGGAAGTTTAAATTTTTCTATTCATGTAGCATTTGTCTATTACCTTTAACTGAATATAAAAAAACACTATGACCAGATGCTTCTAAACAATACTACCTTTATTTAAGTTATGTACAAACTTATACATTTGTTGCATTACTGCTCTAATTTTATGGTCTGAACATATGTCTTAAGGATCCCCATACCACTGCAAAAAACTATGCATCAGCAATAAATTTGCATTGGAAATTACTCTTTCTAGGATTACGATAGCATTGATGAATCATTTTTGAACAGAAAACGTTACTTTGAGGGAATTTTATGAGAACCTATTAAGATGAAATAAACAATGTAATCAACAAAAGTGTTTCGAGTAAAAGAAAGTTCAGGATTCGGATCCTGGGCCTCAAATTGTTGGATTGTCACTCTACCCTAGTACGCTACCTGGTCAATAGAAGTGTCTTGGACTAATTGCGCTACATTAATACCAGAAGGATTTTAAGGGGAGATTAATTTATATAAGAAAAAAAACAGTGAAATCTCAAGTATTTGGCCTGCAGTGGGACTTAGGTCCTTAAAACCAAAACAACTAGACACTTTCCCTTCCTCAACCACTGATTAACTCATTTGTATACTACGTACTACACTATACAAAAATACACTGTAAAATGTAACTGTTTTATATTATGCTCTCTAAATAAAGAGCGGAATTGTTGTTAAACTAATTATATAATCATATGTGTAGGTATAAAGTATTTGGGGCATTTAACAATAAGAGTTATCAGTGTTTCAGTAGAGCTGGGGAAACTTGTACGTTATCATTTTACCGTCTTGAAATTGCTCTTAAAAGTGTTATTAAGCCAACAGGAGAGATTAGCATAAGTTGAAAAAAGACTCTTTTGTTTCATTATTTATTTATGAAAAAGTTTATTTAAAAGGTTAGTCATATAGACACAGTGTGAAATCATAGCAAAACACACAATGTATAACAAACTTTAGAAATGACCTAAGACAATTACAATGCGAATTCATATTAAATGACATACAAGAATTACCATTCAATGTCCTTTTTGCGCTTTTCTTATTACAGAATAGCATGATAGCAAAACAGGAACGCCACATGTATACAGTAATTTAGAGTCGCCCGCATGTTTAGGATATTTAGACTTAAGTACCAGTCTGCGGTTATCTACATCAGATAGATTGTTATTTGTCCAAAAGTCTAGAGGACAGCACAAAAAGAAACATTCATCATGTCTGGATTTCACAATTCTTGTGTCCTTCTTGGTGAGAGACCGACCCCTATGTCACTATATCTGTTCAGGTTCCTGGACCCGTATTCATGGAAATGTTCCGATGCTCAGTCATGAATTCTGTGCTCATACCAACTTTCTTATCCCTGGTTATTAGAAACTGAACAATGTCAAAAAAATGAGTCTATCATGACAAAGAAAACAGTATTCAGCTTTTCGTCTCACGCGAATTCTTCCAAAACATTGACGAAAACGTGATATTTTTTTCTATAAATTTATCACAAAAAAAAAGAATTTTTCTTTAAAATTAATGAAAAATTTAAGTTACAGATTTCAGGTCGTACAAACATTTAACCTTGTGGTATAGCAAACATGATCATGGACGAAACTGCCAACACCATGACACCCGTTCTCACTTATTTATTGTATTTTACACTATTTTTCATGTTTTCCTGATGTGCATACCATTTTAAGCATTGTCATATGTGTAGGTGTTATCCATTGGCTGTTTTCTGTTGAGATCTATATGGATACATTACTTTATCAATACTGTGCGCAAGGAATCAAACCTGTTGAATCAGAAAAGATTGAGTGTATAAAGTTTTCGTCTGTAAAATTTGTGTTTTGTGTTTTATTGCAGCATGACTTTATAGTAGTTATTCATAGGGGCATTTATCGCGCTTATCAAGGATCCCTGTCCCACTGCACTGTGTTTTTTCGTATGAAGTGTTTCGTATGTAGTGTAATCTCCCCTTAATTTATTTTTGATAAAACTGTTGCGCATTTGGGCAAAGGCTCTTCCTTTACTTTGGCATAGAAGTTAAGTCCGTTTTAGCGATGGTACATTTAGAAAATATCTGCAGTTCAGTATTCAGATTATCGTTTAGCCCTGCTGATTATTTTTTGTATATAGTAAAATTTCGATGATTTTATTAGTTAACCTGCCCGAAAGGCAAGTGATGTTATACCATGGCGCGGTGTCCGCCATCCGTCTGTCGTACGTCATCTGTCAACTTTTCCTAAAAATCACTTGTCATCAACGACTGAGCAGATTTTGACCAAATTTGGTCAGAGGCATCCTTGGGTGAAGGAGAACCAATTTTGTGAAAACCGTGGGTCTAGCCCCCGAGGGGCCTGAGGGGCGGGCCCAATAGGGGAAACATAGCAAATTCCTTAAAATCCTTTCTTCTTCTGTAGGAATGAAAGGATTTGTTCCATATTTGGTCTGAAGCATCCTTCAGTAAAGGGGGACCAATTTTGTATAAACTGTAGGTCTGGGCCTCAGAGAAGCCTGAGGGGTGGGCCTAATATGGGAAACATAGCAAATTCTTTAAAATCCTTCTAATTCTGTAGGAATGAAAGGATTTGTTCTGTAAGGGAAAACAATTTTATATAAACCCTGGGTCTTGCCCCCATGGGGCCTGAAGGGTGGGGCCGAATAGTGGAAACAGCAGTTTCTTTAAACTCCTTCTACTTCTGTAGGAAAGAAAGGATTTGTTCCATATTTGGTCTGAAGCATCCTTTGGTGAAGGGGAACCAATTTTGTATAAACTGTGGGTCTGGCCCCCAAGGAGCCTGAGGGGCGGGGCCAAAAGGGGGCAATTGGGCTATATTGATTTAAGCGACTTCTTCCCTGGAACTAAGAGATGGATATCAACCATATTTGACTGGAAGCATCCCTAGGTGGTGGGAATTCAAAATTGTACATGGTTGGGCTGATCCCCCCCCAGGGGACTGAGGGGTGGGGCCAAAAGGGCGCAATTTGACTATATTGCTATAAACGTCTTCTTCTGTAGAATTATGTCATGGATATCGATCATATTTGGTCAGAAGCATTCATGGGAGGCAGGGATTCAAAATTGTACAAATGGTGGGGCTGACCCCCCCCGTGCTAAGTGGTNAGATCTCCGACCCAAAACTACATATACAATTGTTGGACATAAAGAGACGAATGCAGACATGATATTAGAACTGACCCCAGGGTCTGCCCCAACCTTGCAGACTTAAACCCTTGGTCATAACTTTGAAACGGTTGAGATTCCCACCCCAAGACTAAATACAAATGCTGGACAAAAAGAGACGAATGCAGTCATGATATTATAATTGATCCTGGGGTCTGGCCACAACCCTAGGGATCTAGTTTCTGAGTCACAGCTTGGAAACAGTTGAGATTCCACCCCATAACCATACATTAAATTGCTGGGCATGAAAAATCTAATACAGACATACTACAAGAATCGGCATTGGGGTCTGGCATATTCCCTTGGATCTCATTTGGAAACAAATTGCTATGATTACTTAGATATCCAGGTGAGCGATAGAGACCCTCTGGGCTTCTTGTTTCGTATATAAAATTGTATATAAAATATACAAATATCAAATATGAAATGTTCATTTCATCATCGTTATTTTTCATAAAAAATCCGCAAGGTCTGGTTTGATCTTCAGAAATGATTGATTAAAGCTACAGTACTGTATACTCATGCTGAAAAATACAGTTTCCACTATAAGATCACTGTTGTTGGCAGTGGTACGGGGATCCGTAAGTGTGTAAAGAAACATACGTATAGAAAACCTACGAAAGATATATATGCAAGACCACACACTTGTGTTTTTCTAACGAATCGGAAAGCACGAGTTTATTGCGCGGACGAATATATTCACGAGTGTGTGGTCTTGCTTATATCACATACCTTCCGTATTTGGTAGAGATCGATACAAAGATTTTATAAACTTTAATATTTTTTGCAAATACCGGGGACTTTTCAGTTTGCCATGACAAGGGGATTCCCATAAAATGTAGTTCCGGCTAGTATGTAAATACAACATTCCGTATTGCACATGTGCAATACAGAACGTTGTATTTCATGGTCTGAAAAATGCTTGTATTACTATAACAAGATTCCACAGGTATGTGATAAATATAGAGGCTCACCAACAAGTGATGGTTGGTTATCATGTTTTGTTTTGCAAACAATTAAATTGTATAAAGACACGAGGTTTACCGATCGTCTTTTACATTAGAAATTTACTAACGAGAGTTTGATGATATACTAATCAACCATCGCGAGTTAGGAGACGTTTTTTCTCCTACAACATTGAGATATATCTATAATTCATGCGATTCTATTTTGGATACATTATTCCTACTTCAAATCGAGGAAGCCCTTGATATGAACTATGACGACACGATGAAAGATGACGTCACATAGCGTTGTTACTTGACGACATACAAGAGGATTGACAATCCTATAGTGGGTAACCAGATTGGTTTCCTTGCAGTTTTATCCAATGAGTCGGGAGTGAGGAAATCTATAATAGGTGTGAGAGAAAAATGGTTTTACAGTTTATGGCCAAAGGTAAAGTTGTTGATCTGAACCTTTTAAAGTTCTACTTGCTTCGTCAGTGATTGTCTTTCTTGTTCTCCTCACAAGCGTCAGTCCACAACTAATACTGGCAATGCCTTTTGTGTTCATGTTTAAAAAAAACTAGTTCACGTTTTTGATGATTCCTACTAGTGGAATTTGATTGTCTTAGATTCTTTCCAACTTCACATGATAAAATTGTCATCAGGAGTATATCAAATGAATTTATTATTAATTTATTCAAACACATATATGTTACTTCCTGTAGTATACTATCAAAGAAGTAGGAAAGAAATTAGCAATTTTCGTATTCATAGCAGCCATATTGGTATTAAAGCTGGAAATATATCAGTATTGTACATTATGCATCATCTCCATTCATCTTTATAATTGATTCTTTCATGTGAACACAATCACGAGAACAAAATAATGAATATTAGAATATTTAATTTGTATACAATAGAATACGGGTGGTGGTTTTAATGACTATGTCTCAGCCAATCACCGTCTCGCCCTGCACTTGAAGACTGTAATTATAAAATGATGTCTTAATGAATCACTGTGTTCTGTAGGACAGTGAATATAAAATAAAGTAACACTTGGTGAGCCGCTGTGTTAGACAGCAGTACACGATGAATTAACATGTCGCTGGGTCATATACAACTGTAATCACTGAAGGTGTGCATATGTATTCGGGTTTGTTCGTGAACTTTGATATACAAGTTAATAAATACGAACGCATCGCTGTTTTCTGTAATACTTTTATTGTATCGCAGTGAACCTATGTATTTGAGAGGGGAAATACCTTAAAATCTCGATTAGAAGCATAACTTGAAAATAGCCAGGTACTTATAGTAATACGCCTGCGATTCCTTGCAGTCAATGTACGTATGGTGAAAATTCGATGATGTACAGATGTAATCATTAGGTATTACCACCAGCGCCGTACATTAAAATACTCTCAAATCATCGATTTTCATTTCCCCTTCTGGTTCTCTAAACTGGAGCTTGTCTCCACTACTCAGCTAAATATACAGTATCGTTAGCTGCTTACACATTACTTTGCTCGCCTATATATTAAGACTTAAGAAATCTGTTATTGCAGTGTTCCAAATGCTTTGAAATTTCAAGTGTGAATCCTATCAGACTAAAATAATCAGTCAACGGTGTCAGATTATTACCGTTCGGCAATTCATTGGAATTGTCTGGGCAAATACTAAGGTATTGTTATTATTTATTACATTTTTCACACTGTGACAAATATATCAAAAGTAATACTTTCACACTACTTTTTAGAATTGACCAATCATAACGGTATCTTCTATTCGCTGCATTCAAGGCAACTATTTTTTGTTCAGACTCAAATGAGCGACGGTAGAATAAGTGTCTGTTATGGTAAATGTTTGGTACACACACTTAAGTATTTACATTAATATATAATTAATAACATTTTTATAAGCAATCAAACCAGAAAAAAACCCAGAAAACGTCGGAATTGCGTTGAGTATCCCATTCAAAATGTCGCGCAGTGCGGGGATCAGAAGCGTAATAATTACGAATGACGGCTTGACAACAAGTCTATGTTAACGACATGCCTGATATGTTAAGCTGAACGATCAAACTATTTGCGGATGACACAAAACTCTCTGCAAAAAA